AATTTCATAGTCATTAATTGTATTCTAATGAAGTTAATAAATTAATTTGATTTGTTAAATGAAATTTGATATAATTTATACTAGACCATTTATTCACAATAGTTCAAATTTACGCCAACTAGTGATTAAATAAAATGGACAGTTTTTATATTATATATATATATATATATATATATATATATATATATATTTCGAGGAAAATAAATCCATAAAATCTAAATAGCATTAGTGTTTCAATAACTCCCAGCTTTCTTTCAGTTTTGAGCCAAAGATGCGTTTTTTAAATATAGGCAACGCATAAGTAAACGGAAGTAGAGGTAGAAATAGACACATTTTCTGCAAGATCATTTATGTACTAGTCCAGACAATCCCTGAAAATGTCATCAATAAATATTGATATAATAATTCCTCACTGTCTAAAACGTGAAACGCGAGAGAATGGTTTCCATCAAAACAAACACTTTCACCACAAATCCACCCACTTTTTCTCTTAGAAAAGCTTCATGCCTACCCTTAAGGATTGCCAATAATCCAGTGCCTTCAAAAAACTATGCGCGGCCCCTCAGGTTTTACTTAGACAAAATACTTAACTGGAACATACATACTAAATTAAAAAGACAAGAACTAACTAGACGATATAACCAACTCTTGCATCTACTACAGATCCTCACTTAACTTACGAAACAAACGACTGATCTACAACACCATACTGAGACCAATTTGGACATACGGAGCAGAACTTTAGGGTTCGGCAAAACAAACACACATTAATAAAATACAAACAACAAAATAAAAAATTCTACGGAAAATTGACAACTCACCTTGGTACATTTCAAATAACACTATACATAACGACTTAAACATCCCAATAGTAAAATCGTACATACACGACATATAAACTTTATTTCATCCTTCTGCTATCAATCATCCAAACCCACTCGTTCCGTCTCTTTCTTCCTCCCTGTTAGCTGATGGACACAGACTAAAAAGGAAATGGCCAAGGGACATACTCTTACAGCAATAACAAAATTAAATTAATCGAGCAAACTCGCAGTTGATGCCTAATTCATCAAATTTGCTAGGTGCTCTGCAGCGCAGGTGCAAATGGCTTAAAATGTTAAATAGATAAAAAACAAACATTTCTTATAAAACTCCTGCCGGAACATAAGGCGTTTTTATATTAATACAATAGTTCTTAAATGAATACATATATACTTTGGCTTTTCAGTGATGAAGCAAAAGTGAATAAGTATTAACTAGTTATTTTATGTTTAGACTAGTGTAGAATTAGCGCTATTATAGTATTATAGAACTATAATACTATAATATAAATTATAGAAATACTATAGCATAGGTGGGAAACCGCGACCTGAAAATGTTTTTGTACGATATTTAGAGCTAGAATTGATCAATCTATAATTATTAAGTTTTTTTTTTCCCTACCCCCCAGGAATTTCTTGACTACAAAATACAATATATATATAAATGTTATATGTACATAAATTTTCAATTTCCTTTTATTGCCCAAGGGCATTTTAAGGTAAGAGGGCTCTGCACGCTGTATGCGTTCTTTGCATCTGTGGCCAGAGGCCTTTTATTATACCACTGGGCGTGGAGGGACCGCCCTTAATTATTAAGTAACGACAACTTGGAAGTTAATAGAAATGAGTTGAATTTAAATATATGGGTGTGTGTATTTAGTGATCAACAAAAATAGCAACGGTAAAATATGAAGCATAATTGCGAAGCATATTGCGATCTCTAATGTTCAAAAGGTTCCCCATCTATGATATTATTATAGCATTATAGTAAGACGTTATTAGGAAGCTGGTAAAGACACTATAAGATTAGGTTTGATTTAAGTAACTAAGTATTTTTTTTTTTTAAGACGCCTCGCTACGATAAGGTTGAGCAGTCCTCAACTCCAGGACGACTCTCATGTTCTAAACTAAGTGCTTGTAATCATAATGGCAATAAATAAATGAAGAGCCATTGCTCCGGATGAAAATATAGAAAATATTTTTAAAAAACTGAAAATAAATTCAACGTATCTTGTGAATTTAAATTATTTTCAACATAAATAAGAAAAAAAAAGCTAAAATGCAAGTATTATGAAGATCTATTAGCCAAAAAAGGTCTTAACTCTTGAAAAAAAAAAAACCATTGCCTCCAAACCATAACTTCAGGGGTTCTGTTTAGTATTCAAGGAACTAGGCAGTCTCAAACTGCTCCTTCACTTGAATTTGAACAAGAACCATTTACATAGATAGATAGTGAGTTATATAAATCAGTTTCTTCCTACAGTTTTATCTACTCTATCAAATATTACAAAATTATTTAATAAAATCCAAATTATATATTTTGAAAAAAAAAAAAAAGATCTAGTGCGGTCTGCGCATCACACGAATTTCACTTCTCAGGATGGCAAATGAAAGTTATTTAGTTAAGATTGAAACAAGTATACAGATAGATTAATAATACAAATATACTGCATCAATCAACGTTTTTATTTATTCATTTTATTATTATTATTAATATGTTTACCCACCTGTATCGTATGTAAATATTTTTGTAGGTTTTCACCAATCCCCATTCATTTTTACGATTATGATTTATATTATCTATTCTAATATATTTTGCTATAACGTTAAACTATACATAAATAATACTTCTTTTGGCCTGCAGACAAAGGCGGGGGAATTTCAATAGGTAGATTAATATTCAGATTATTATTGAGATATATGTGGACAACGATTGTGGCGATTACGGCTTCGAACTTTTGGATTCACTAAACCTCAAGATAACTAAGTACCAAGAGAGACTGCTAGCAATTTTATCGATAACAAAATTGATTTATATGTTTTAAATAAAATAAAAATATGTTAAGATATATTGTATATTCCACATAAAACATAACATATTATTATAATTAATCAGGATTTATAAAATAGATAACAAAGTAGAAATTAAATAATATAAATATAAAAATATATTAACTGAATATTAAAACTAAAAATAGGATATAAGAAAAACATATTTCTAAAACAGGTTTATTCAATTAATGAAACATGTTAAGACAAATTTTCACAAGACAAATGAACATACTATATCAGTTTAAATATTTTAAAAGATAGACTTGTATAAGTATAATACATTTACATAGGTGCCCTTAAGATAATGCGAAACTTTAACTAATTATATCATATAAGAGATATCAATCAGTACAATACAAGCATATGTAATAATTAATACTAATTTTCAAATAATTCATAACCTCTAAGAAACATTTCTTCATATCAGAAAATGCATTCTGTATTTAAAATTCAGTACATCAATACATTACATCTAAAAGTCAGATCAGAGTTGGGAATGTATTATTCATACAAATGAGAATGAACCGATGATATTCCAATAAATTGACAAGAATAAAAAATAAATTGATTATTCACGAATATGCCTCGCGCGGGTTCATTACCGCGTATGGGGAGCGTCCCACGGGTGGCGGATGTGGGGATGGTCGGTGGAAATTTCTTGGAAGTTCCTCCGGGCTAAGTCCGATGGACTCGCTGACCAACAATGAGAGGGGCCCTCCAGACTTGCTGGAGGGAGGGGACCTCCAGACTTGCTGGAGGTAGGGGCCCACCAGACTTGCTGGAGGGTGTGACGTAGGATTGAACGTCCTACTCACATATCTTTAGTTCACCAAACACCACAAAAAGTCTTAGATTAAGGGATGAGCAGCGTCTTAAGGTTTTTGAAAATAAAGTATTGCGTAGAATATTCGGACCGAAGAAGGATGAGTTACCCGGAGAGTTCAGACGGTTACACAACGCCGAATTGCGTGAGCTGTATCCGGGTAATATAATTGAGGTAATTTCATCGCGGCGAATCAAATGGGCTTGTAAAGTTGTTGGGCTTAGTAACGAGAGAATTCCTAAAAGGTTAATATTTGCTGTGCCGAATGGTAAGCGTCCGAGGGGTAGACCGAAGCGAAGGTGGGAAGATTGCATTAAAGCCGATCTGAAGAAACTGGGTTTGGACGGCGAACGGTGGAGGGAGGTGTGTAACAAGCGATTGGTGGTGTCGGCATCGAACCTTCGGGTTTGCTAAGCCTTATTATTATTATTATTCACGAATATGATGATTGCTCTTAAATGTTTATTCCTGAGCATTTAATTTCTGTCGTATTTTATAGTGCTATTATTTAATACATTTGATACATTTTTCTTAACCTTTCTTGCATCTAATATAAGAACTGTAAAACAACCCCTTGAAAATTTTAATTTATTTTCAATGTAAAGGTATCCCATTTTCCGTGACCTCGATTTAAAATAAATTATTTCTTTACACCCAATTTACTCATATATATTTCTTTTTTCAAAGAAAATAACTAAGATGTGACAGAAACAAATGACGTAGGATATTTGATATGAAATTTCGATTAACAATTAATTTTTTACTAAGCAGTGTCCAACTCTGATGTATATAGGATAAAAAATAATCTAAATAAAAGAAATCCATAAAGGCAAGAATGAAAGTTAAAACAATTGGTTAGTTAAAGAAACCATAAAATTATTATGTATTGGTTTCATTTACAACAATAATAAATATAATAAAAAATAATGGTTACACAAATATTAAAAAATAACAACGAAATCATTAATAAAGCCTGGTCTGTCTATAATTTAAAACTTTATCAGTTATGGATTTAAAATGTGATTTAATTTCAACTATTGTCTAAAACATAAATGATATATGTTTTTCAACGAGTGAATTTCAATTTATTAGTGTGCACCAAATCAAAAAAAAGAAAAATGAAAAAGCATATATTTCAACTCGATTGGAAATTTTGATCATCTAATTTCTAACTATATATGCTTAATTCATAAATGGTATTTAGAAATCAATAAGCCTAATATTGAAATAAGTGATAAAAATCTGTTAATTAAACATAAATTGATATTATTCTCATTGGCAGACGGGCAGTAAAACAGAATTAATCAGTATTGTGAAGAGTACTCACCGAGATCGCCATCTCCAAGAGGCGGGTGGACCGCGCCGAAGAACCTCTTGTCCAGAAGCTGAAGAAGTTGAAGAGCCGTCTCGTGTATTTCCGAACGCGGGCACCCTGTACTCATGAGGGTCACGTTTATGACCGCGGTATAATGGTCACATGGGTACTCCCTGAAATAAAAGGAAAATATCATAGAGGTTTTAATAATAATAATCTTTTTTACATATTCTCGGACTGAGGAATTCATATATTTATTTAGATGTACATATTTTTATTAATATTGAAAAATTGAGTAACAAGAAAAATTGAAAACAAAATTTAAACTAAAAAAAAATAGAGGTAGTAATAATATAAATGTAAAATATTTATAATGAAGAGAAGGATGGTTGGGGTTATCAGTCAAAAATAAAAAGGAAAAACAAATAATTTTATTTATTTTAACATTTGCCGACGTTTCGACCTGAAGTTCAGGCCTTCATCAGGGCTGCTCCCAAAAGATTGCTGGAGTACAGTGATTTCTGACTGATCACCCCAACCATCCTTCTCTTAATTATTGATGGCAGTCAACCATCAACGCACAATTAATATATTTATACAGCAAGTAGCTCAATGCAGGGAGGCTCTTCCTTGGTCAGCCCCTCTGCAGCACTAGCGGATCCAGGATTTAATTTTGAGGGGGGCTTCAGCCCGAAAGCTTTTTTTTTTCATAAAAATAACGATAATTACTTTGGAAAAAAAGAAACTAACTACCTGTATGAAATGGTGTTTAAGTGATTCCTAAAGCCCTTTTAATATTAATCACACGAACAACAATACTTTAAGAGATACTTTTTTAATATATTTTTCGATAAAACATGGTTAAATTTTGCCATTTTGGGGGGGGGGGCTTCAGCCTGAAAGCCGCCCCCCCTAGATCCGCCCGTGATCAAAGAGGAACGTGGCAGCGGCTTGATTAAGTGGATTTGAACTTAAATATTCAATCTCGTGGAAATTTTGCTCTAAAAATCAGTGTGAAAGGAATGTCAAAATGAGTTTGTAACGCAAGGTTTGAAACATAAAAGGAAGCGTCTACAATCTTCCTGAGAATTTGATTCTTTAGATGTTTCTCAGAACTCGATGCCATATGTCAAAATTGATTTTATAAGAATTTTAAAAATAGTGAATTTATCAGTAAGCGATAATTTTGAACGTCTGTAAATTATCCAAGAAAGAAGTCCGTTTCGCTGAATAATAAGTTTTTTGTTTTCCTCGTCTTATGTAGTTTGTACAGGCAGAGGCCCAAATATCCGGACTATTTAGGAATTCGGTATAGGATTATTTAAAAACATACTTGAGGACAAGTCATGGCAAAATGTAAATAAAACAAATTAGCTCTTGGACTCGTTTATTTTTAACATCCAACTTTTAGCGTAGCAAGAAACTATGTCGTGTTCCTCAGAAAATCCTTAGTTTCATCTTTGTTGGATGTCCGAGCTTCTGAAACATGTAGTCAACTAATACCTTGGTGACATCACGTAATACAGATGTAACATAGCTGGCCAGAATATTTAAAATATTTTAACTAAAAGTGTGCGTTTTATTTATGATATAATCACAATATACAATTATATGTTTTCTATTAATTCTAACTAATAATTCACGATAATAATTAAATATTTAAATTGTTAAATTTTGGAAACTACGGATTAGCTTCATTCAATCGTGAAAATTATTTTTATAGAACAAGTAGAAGTTAATAAATTACAAGCGTAAGGTACAAAGTACTATCAACATCTGCTACAGAAATAACGAGCTACAAAATGAGAAATGACCGCACATGATCATTTCGTAAAATAATGACCCAGCCCCCTGTGATTTGAGAGGAACCGAGAGAAAGAAACAGATAACAATAAATGACAGAGGACAATAAGAACGTAAGAAGGTGCCTTTTTCCAGACAATAACCAATTCATAAATTTATCCCTTACAAGAAAACGATCCTATACTACCTAACACAGCAGAATTCAGGAAGACAATATCCTACCAGATAATACAATATAAACTATAAGTGTGAATCTATATCTTAATATAGGTAAATATATTATACGTTTAAAAGTTATATTCGTTAATATAACAGTGAACCATATATATATATATATATATATATATATATATATATATATATATATATATATATATATATATATATATTTGTAAATTTTTAACTATTTATATTGACAGTCAAATAATAACGACGTTTCTATTGAAAATAAAGTTATATATATATATATATAATACAATATCTGTAAAATCAATTAATGGGAAACCTCTCACCGATCATCTCGAAAAGAGGAGACAGCCCTCTGCAGGTTACGAATTGGACATTATGAGTTCTCGCACTGTTACCTACTAAGAGGACTTGATCCTCCGACCTGCGAGAGGTGCAATGTCTAAAGGACAGTAAAGTACATCACTCAAGACTTCCCTTCCTTTGAACCTACAAGGAAAAAGTTAGACATGGCACAGAGTCTAAAACAAAATCTACAAGACAGTGAAAGTGCAGTCAAAAAAACTTTAAGATTTTTAAAAGAGATAAAACTCTACAACAGAGTGTAATTTAAAGGCGTTGCCAATGACCCTACAGGATAGAGGCAAAAAACATCAAATAAATATATATATATATATATATATTACAGTTACGTACACGAAACTGTAATTTAATAAAATATATATTTAAAATTTTACAGAATTGAAAAATTTCTAACCCTTATAATTTCACATCATATTTTGTTGAAGATGGAAATAGCGAGATATTTCACCGAGTGGGTTGAGTTTGTAAAATTTTGATTCCGACAACAGCAGGATAATATTGAAAAAAAATATTTTTATCCATTTAAAGTAAATCTTATATAAGTTTTTAAAGCTTTCTGTAATTCCTTAATTATGATTATATTTGTATTAAATTTGGTCTATTTCATGTGTATTTATGGTTCACTTTAACCATCTGTGTAAACCTAGATTAGACACTTTTTAACCAAAATGTTTTATTGTTATTTTCAACTTAGCAGGCATTGATCCATCCCATATTATCAGAGATTCTCTCCTCCAGTTGGGCGAGATTACATTTTTCAATAGTTACAAATGGCTGGCAACAGACCACGAGAAAGAAAAAAAAGCAGATGGATGGTTATAATCAACAAACACGAGTATGCTGCAGAAGTCCATGCGGCAAACTGGGAAGCAGTAACTCAAGATAGACAGATGTGAAGAAGGTTGATTCAGCCGGAAAATATTTACAAGATCTCTGAAGCCAACAGAAAAAAAAAAAAAAAACGTTTATTCAACTCCAGTATTTTAGAGCTAGACAAAATAAAATATACTTGAATAACTGAGAGCATAAAATAATTATTTTCAACGAATTTAAATTTCCATAGGATGACGCAAAATGAGTATGATGCAGATAATATCCTATTATTTTCCGGAGCTGTATTTTCCAGAAGTTGATAAAGATACTGGTCATGTTTTATGTGATTTTCAACAATCATTCTTCACGCACGGTTTATAAATCACGCCGATTATATTTAGGGTAAGTGCCCAATAAAATTTACAATGTTTGACTTTGAATAACTTTAATACAGGTTTTTTTTTCTTAATATTCCTAAGACAATTATTTTTTAAAATTTACAATCAGGAACTGTTGGGTCTACGGGGCAAGGAGGAGGGAGCTTTCGAACTTAGTCCATCCAAAAAACGTAAAAAATTATTTTTCATTGATTTATATTTTTTTCTGTTAATGATCTGAGTTAAATGCTTAAATAATCATCACTTGTACACTTTTAAAATTATAATGCATACATTTCAGCTACTTTATGTAAGTACGAGTCACGAAAAAACTATTAACGTTTATTTCTAAAGCATTATTGTTCCTGTTAAGTTTTTTTTTTCTTCTTTTTTTACGAACCTTCACGGACCACTTAAACGTTATTTTACAGGGTTTCTTTTTTTTCCTCCGGAATTACCGTTCAGAAAAAAAAAAAAAAAAATAGGCACTTAAAGGGTAATTGGGTACGATGAGTAGTGGATGTGAGAAAATAGTGAAATAGTTTAATTTTCCAAAGGATTACTTTACGGATATTATCATAGAAAAACTCTAACATTTAACAGAAATACACGATTTTACAATTTTCAGTGGATCACGAAAGTGGGATGTAGAAATGGCCATAGCAGAGCAAGGCGAAGTGTATCAGTTGTTCACCAACGAGGAAAAATTTAAATTAAATAAACACATATGAAAAACGTATTTTTAGAAAAAAAAAAAAAAGATTACAAGCAACAGATTAAGAGTAAGTACTTCATCATTCTAAAAGAACTAATCACCAAATTAAGATTTATTTCATCATATGTAACTGCCTAATTGTGGAACAGAGAAACAGCTACACAGTAGATATTTAAATGTCGAACTTAATCAACAGTTTCTAACTGACTTTTACAACTTGTTGTACTTCACTTTTAAGAAATTCAGATGGCTGACTAATAAAATAGTGAGTTCACGCCCCATAATGAGTTGGTCATACCTACTGAAGGTGAGGATTTACGAAGACAATGAAAGATTCCATATCAGTGTCTTAAAATTTGACTTCGGAAAAGTTTTAATTTGAAATTTCCGGCAAAATCAGAAACAAGAGTAGTAGGAAAAAAATGATATATAAAATTATGAGATTACAACAAAGTTTCACTGAAGCTATTGACTTACATATGGAATCACATTCACACTAAATTTAAGAATGATTCTGTAGTACAACGCCATAATTCTACCTACTTCTTACTCGTAAACCGCCATTCCCATCTGCAGGATATAAGAAAAAGCCGTTTACGCTGTTACAAAACCCATCAACTGAACCCCATTATCGATGAAACAGAAGAGAACAGACGATCAAGGAACAACAGAAGTGCTCTTGGAGGGGTTACCTACCATCTACAGTCCCTTACAAAAGGGGAGGAGAACGGCTTCAAACAGCAAACCATCGAAAATAATTTTCATCCATTTTTTTTTCTCACAAACCAGCTTCAATGGCCAGAGTACCGCTTTTGTTCAGTATCCATCTGAATTTTATTTGTTATTTTTTTTGAAATTTTAATTCCCTCAGTGGCTGTATCGAATTTTTTAACATGTTACGTACAAAACTTGCAGGCAACTTTATGTCTTTTAGCATTGATAGACAGGGTTTTGTCTAAAGTACGCTGGAAAGGAATTATTGTGGATAAAGTGAAACAAAATTTGTTTTCTTAAGATGGAGGAAATACACAAGGAGAGGGAGGTAAAAAACTTCGATTTTTAACGAGAGGATCAATACATACAACATATCTGAAAAATACATCACTTTTTGCAACCAGATTCTCAGAGTTGACCTTTTAAAGTATTATTTCGTTGGTACTGCCCACAGCAGCGACCGCCATTTTTGTTTGCCAACCGTTTATTTCGATGGAACTGCTCACCGTTGCGGTTCAATTAAGCAACACATTCAGAAGAAAAGCTTTATTCTTTCCAGTATGACCGAATACATGTGTCTTTGAAAAGTGAGAAATTCAATTAAAAATCAATGAAACTTCAACTCCCTTTAAATACTAATCAAAGAATATTTTAAAGATCCTAAAATCAATAGTACATATTTTGTTGACGTATTTATAAATTTTAAGCTTCATTAACCCTTCGGCTCTACATTAACCCTTATGGATCGCCAGCTTTTTATATGTCATTCTCACGAGATTTTAATTGTTTTTGGTAAATATGCAAACAAAAATCGTAAGAATAACACTTTGCGTTATCACGTGAGAGGTGACTGTCGACCGATAAGGGTTAATATATTGTCAATTCGACTCCAGCTATTACTAAATAGTATTCATTTTTGTTATAATATGATATGTTTAATAATCTTCATAATTAAGAGGAATTGAATACACCTTTGTGACTAATTTTCCATAGTTAACTTCAAAGGCCTTGTAAGTAATAATCAATAAAAGGATTTCAAACCTTTGGAAAATGTTAAATCAAGTTCTACGCAAAGTGATCATCAAATACATTTACAAATAATCTATATATAAAAATTAATGTATGTCTGTCTGTCTTTTTGTCATTTATGAATTACTAATCCATTCATACGATCGCCATGAAACTTCGGGAAATTGTTCCGTACAATTCTGGGAAGGTTTCTGACATAGTACTTCTGTCTTAGGATAATTTTATATATGTGAAAACAACAAAAATGTAAATGTTTTTTTGTTCAAAGCTGGTATCCTCCGAAAGTCCTTCTCCGATTGCTCTGAAATTTTGACACAGCGTTGAAATCGAATTCAGGAGTGTTTTGAACATTTTATTATCATCCCGGCCATTTGTTTTGAAATGCTGGCCGAAAAATGTGTCGCTATAAACTGTAGCGCCAAAACGGCTTTAACGATTTTAACTAAACTTGGCTAAAACCTTCCCCTTGAAACACCTTTAACTTATGTCTATAATATACTTTCTCGAGAACAAGCTGAAAAAAATTTTACGACGTATTCAATATTTTATTTTTTGATTTTTGATGGATAATACCCATATTTATTTGAAAGATTTTTGAATTGCCGATTAAATAAAAGAAATGTCATCGAAATCGAACTATTCGTTGCAGAGTTATAGGGTTTTAAACATTTACTACTTTCTCTTCAGAAGAAATTTCCATTTTTTATTTGTTATTGATTAATCGAAAATTTTATAACAACTACAGCAGTGAAATTATCATTGGAAGAAGTGATATGATTCCCATTATGTAGGTCAATACTACTATACGCTCTTTAGATTCATTTTTTTATTTTTCTCCCAATATATTCTGGAATTAGTATGATACATTTAAAATATTTGATTTGCTATTATTTAAAAATATTTCATTCTCGTGTAATACTGTTCCTTTCAGAAATCAGTTTTTTATTTATTTCAGTTTATTTCATTTTTTAATAAATTATTTCTTTAACATTACGTTGGAATAAGATAAGGAATAAGTGCCATTTACCGTAGGATTTCTTTCATGAGTATGGTTTTTTTTTCCATTACAATTTTTACAACTCTATATTTAATCAAGCTGTTATTAAGAAGAAGCAAGCAATCAACCATCTTAGGAGGGGTATGCGAAATGTTTTTTATTTTTTTTTTTTTTTTTTTTAGAAAATTAAACTTTATTCTGGGACTAAGTCCCTTTAGAATAACAATGATGAGTTAATACAAAGTAAAGTACAAATCTGGCCAAAAACTAACTTCTAAAAATTTTAATATTATATACATTATTTAAAAAGTATTTAACCAGTAAAACATAAAAAATAAAATATATATACAAATGAACATAAAATCTTCTCAAAATTACTTAATTGTGATGAAAAAAAAAAAAGAAGAGAAATTACATATTTATATATACATAACTACACAATTTATAAACAATAGGCTATCTAATAGAAAACTAACTTAATACAAAATGAAATAATATCTACAGTGGTTTATATAATAATATGCAGACACTAAGATAAAATAAAGTCTTACGATACTTGTGGTGTAACGGAAAAAAAAAAAAAGAAAAAGAACTAAAAGGAACTATTTATACGTACATTCTCATATTGGCACACATAAAGACAAAGATATAAAATATGAACATATATACCCGAAAAAAAAAAAAAGCATCACCTGAGGAGAACAGAAAAATAAATAAATAGTAAAAATAATAGTCAAACTAGGTGACAAACATCATTGTTGTTTTATGCTAAAACTTAAACAGTAGGCACCACTATTTACTTCACGCAAATTCAGTTCATAAAATGAAATTTATGGTGGTAAATCTTCTGTTTGGGATGTAAGGAGATATTGGAAAAGGAGGTATATGAAAGTTGACAGGGAAGAGGCATGACGGATGTTATGTGGCAAAGAATTCCAATAGGAGACGGAGCGGGCTAAGAAGGAACGTTCATAGGTTTTTGTCCTGTGGAAAGGAATATAGAGGTCAGAAACACGGGATCTCGTTTTTATTGCTTTTAAGGAAGGTGGAAAGCCATAGCAGAGCGCGGCCGGGTAAAGTTAGTAAAATATAGAATGAACCAAAGATAATTAATCAATCAAGAATTACTGTATGCGGTCAAATATTAAATTGTTTTCTAATACACATATAATCAAAGTTAGGTCTCAATAAAAATGAAATCGCATACCGATCACAATTCGAACTGTATTGGACCCAGAACGGAATCCTAATATCACCGAAATCCAAGCCATGTAAGCCATCCGAGATGTGATGATGTCAGCTAAAAAGAAACCGAAACTTCAAACAAGGAACTGATCAATGGTTCTCCTGAGTACCTAGTTTAATCAAAACAGAGTTTATGTCGACTGGGTGACAGCTGAGGTGATATTGTGCAAATATCACTTACTATATTGTGAACTTATCACCTCAACAGGAGCATGCTAGATTATCTTTGGAGCTAACCAAGATAACTGAAAATAAAAGTATAAGACTGAGATCAAATGGGCATAAAGAGCACTTTTCGACCAACAGAAAAAGTTGCTTATTCTAAAGGGTGTCCCTTAAGTAGAGGAAAGTATTAAAAGGAGTTATAGCAGACCTCGAGAGCTACGAAAAGGTTTATATAAACACGGTCTGTTTTTCGGCAGAAAAATAGGAAATTAAAGATTTGTGTTCATTTAAGTAAATCATGTTTTGTTGGACAGGAAGCAAAAACTAAAGAATTATTTTATTTCTTTAAGTAATTAACAAGATTCATTGTTTCACTGTAAACTAGACAAAGTTTACTTCAAATGAGGTTGCCTTTGTTGATACTATTCAAAGAGGACTAACTAGCACCACTCATCCCTACAATCCTCCTCGCAGGCTAAAACGGCAGTGGCCCCGTGACCTTTTGTAACATGTATATATTGAAGTTCTGGCAATGGCCAGATTCTGCACTCAAGTCATGAGTGTCTGTGGTTGTAGCGCCCTTACTCAATCTCCGCTGGCTTTTAATACCAGTGAAGTGGTTGAGGAAGAAGGGATCTTCTGAAGCCTCGCTTTCCCTCCACATGTGCGGAGATAAGTATGGTTCGGAGTTCCCATGGCCGACTGTAAATAGGTATGCCTGCATCTAAGATGTTTATTTTCATTGCTTTTTTTTAAAAAAAAAAGATAATTTTAATTCTATTTTATTCATTTATTTGTATTCTATTATTACAATTATTTATATTTTCTTCCTTCACTATGATATTTTATTTTGTTCTTTTATAGTTTTATATTATTTGAAATTAGCTTATTTATTTTTTTTAAATTTGTAAATATGGTTTGAATGTGCTCTCAGAACTCTATTATAAATGTCCTTTATTGAGACAGATTGTCATATTTATCAATAAACAAATAATCCATTCTAAAAAAATCAAAGATGACTATTGAGCGGCTAAACTAATGTGAACATGTGAAAAAAAATTATGCCCCACCGTTGATTTCAAATAATTACTAAATTACATTTTAGAGCATTCAGAAACTAATTTGCAGAAGTCAATATAGAATTCTTTTCATTGGCCATAGGGTAAGAAATTAAGTGTTTCTTTCGATTATCTGTTGCACTCGATAGTGTATCGACAAATTATTGGTCCCCGTTATCGAAGTTTTATTCTTTTAAAAACTATCAATACTGCATAAATGTCTTCTTCTAATTGGCGCCTTATATTATACGAAAGTATAAATATTTAAATATTTTCTGTCATTCAGTTACTAAACATTTAAATTATCTCAGTTGGAGAAAGCGGATGAAGAAAATCACAACGATTTTAATATGGAGCAAAAA